GGGTCCCCGGCGCCCTGCGCGGCGCTCGCGAGCGACCTCGGCGGCCCAGCCGACGAGCACTGGTTACCTGGCATTCTATGACACGCTTCCTTCCAAGGTGGGAGGCAGGGGCACGACTCGGGTGGGCGCTTCGGTTCGGGCAGTGCGTTGGACGCCTAAGTCGCTCACTCCTTGGCGGCCCCGCCCTTCAGGCTGCGTCGCGAAAGCGCCGCTCCGTTTGGAAGGCCCCCAGGAGGCGGGACCTCCGAGAGGCACCGCGTAGAGTTCGGTTAGGGCCAGGTGGCTGCCGTCTCACCTGGGCAAGAGCCTGGCTGCCTCCGCTCCTCTCCGCGCATAAAGGGATGCAGTTCCGGGAAAGTAAGGCCGCCGCGGCTGCGGCTACGTTGTGTGTATTTCCACAGACGCGAGTCCGTCTCTGGCTTCACGTCTTCCTGGGCTCTCGTCGCTCCTCCTCCCAGCCCGCCCATCCCATCCGGGAATGAGAAGCTTGGGGGGTCCAGCGCCGGGTGCTGGAGCCGGGAAGCGCGAGCGCAGCCCGAAGAGCGCTGGTTCCAGGGTCCCAAGCTCGAAGTCCGAGCGTCGGATCCCCTGTTCGCTTTGTGGGGTGGTGGTGGATGTGCTAGGAATGATCTTGAAGGTCTCTTCTACCTCTGACATCTCATTTCAGGAACCTGGCATCTTCGGGGAGAGTTACCTGTTTTTTAAAGGAGGTAATTGTTAGTCTTGTTTTCCAACAGCGAAAAGAGTTCTGACCTTAACAACAGTCTGCACCTCTTGTTTCGACCAGCCAGTTGTATTTACTCAAATAGGTGTTTTTTCCCACTTTTGTAGATCTTAAAAGTTTCTCTAGGTCGTGAACGATTTGGGGGGAGGGGTGCACGATTTGTGTTCTAGTGTGTGAGAATGTTTACTTCATAGGCTATACGTTCCCCCAAACTATAAAATAGTCCAGTATACTTTCCAGTGTGTAAGTCGGTGGGCCTTAAAATTTTTCTTCTGGCTAACTTATAATTGTTGAATTCATTAGTTTGCATAAGCATTTAAGAATTTGAAACCGGGCTCGGTGGCTCAGCCTGTCATCCCGCGCCTTTGGGAGGCTGAGGTGAGTGGATGGCCTGAGCCCACGGGTTCGAGACCCGCCTGGGCAGCGAGACCTCACCTCTACAATAAATCAAAAAATCAGCCGGGCGTGGTAGCCTGCGCCTGTAATTCCGGCTACTCGGAAGGCTGAGGCGGAAGGATCGCCAGAGCCCAACAGGTCGAGGCTGCGGTGGCCAGGAGCGGCCGCTGCACTCCAGTCTGGGCGACCGAGTGAGACGCCACCTCAAAAAAAAAAAAAATTTGAAGGCGGGCGCGATGACTCTCAACCTGTCATCCCAGCACTTTGGGAGGCCGAGGCGAGAGGATTGCCTGAGCTCAGGGGTTCGATACTAACCTGGGCAACTTGGTGATACCTCGTCTCTATAATAAATCATGAAAATAAGCCGGGCATAGTAGCGCATGCCTGTAATTCCAGCTACTTGGAAGGCTGAGGCGGAAGGATCGCCGGAGCCCAGCAGATCGAGGCTGCGGTGGCCGGGAGCGTGCCACTGCGCTCCAGCCTCAGCAACACGGTGAGACTCCGACTCAAATAATGATAATAATAATAATTTGAAAGCAACCAGGCGCGGTGGCTCAAGCCTGTAATCCCAGCACTTTGGGAGGTCAAGGCGAGAGGATTGCCTGAGTCCAGGGATCCGAGACCAGCCTAGGCAACTTGGTGAGACCTGGTCTCTACAATAAATCAAAAAATTAGCCGGGCGTGGTGACGCCCACCTGTAGTTCCAGCTACTTAGAAGGCTGAACCAGAAGGATCGTTTGAGCCCAGCAGGTCGAGACTGCAGTGGTCTTGAGCGTGCCACTGCACTCCACCTGGGCGACAGAGTGAGACTGTGACTCAAAACAATAAAAGGATTTGAAAGCAGTTGAAAACAGTGCCGGACCTGGTGACTCAAGCCTATAATTCCACCACTTTGGGAGGCCGAGGTGAGAGAATTGCTTAAGCCTAGGGATTCGAGACCAACCTGGGCAACTTGACGAGACCTCGTCTCTACAACGAATCAAAAAATTAGCCGAGTGTGGTAGCACACCTGTAGTTCCACCTACTTGGAAGGCTGAGGCAGAAGGTTCACCTGAGCCCAGCAGGTCGAGGATTCTGTGGCCATGAGCGTGCTACTGCACTCCTGCCCGAGCAACAGAGTGAGACTCCAACTCAAAAAAACAAAAAAAAAAAAAGGAAAGAAAGAAAAACAGTGTTACCAATAAAATTTCTACTGATATTGTTTAAATAAGCAAAGCAGTTAGAGAAAAATTTTAAATTCTTTGTTCAAAGCAAGTGAATTGGTTGTATTTTGCTTGTTTTTTTTTTTTTGAGTTGGAGTCTCACTCTGTCACCCAGACTGGAGTGCAATGGCCGCTCCCGGCCACCGCAGCCTCGACCTGCTGGACTCCAGTGATCCTTCCGTCTCAGCCTTCCAAGTAGCTGGAAGTACAAGTGTGTGCTACCACGCCCGGCTAATGTTTGATTTGTTGTAGAGATGAGGTCTCGTCAAGTTGCCCAGGCGGGTCTCGAACCCGTGGGCTCAGGCAATCCACTCACCTCGGCCTCCCAAAGTGCTGGGATTACAGGCTGAGCCACTGAGCCCGGCCTGTATTTTTCTTTTTTTTTTAATTTTGGGAATGAACTGCAGCTGTTCTGAAATAAGGAAAACTTTAATTTTCAGTATAAAAACTGATCAAAGAGAATTGTCTAATTTTTCTTAATGATAAAAGGTAAATACACAATATGTGATTTTTCTGTTTTTCTCAAATACATCATTTAGTCCATTCAAGAAATTTTCCATTTATAACACCACAAGTAGATTATTTGGAACATTCATAGTCCTTAAGAATAAAATGAGGCTAGACACAGTGGCTCAGTCCTGAAATCTCAGCACTTTGGGAGCCCGAGGCAGGAGGACTGCTTGAGCATAGGCAACATAGGGAGACCTGTCTCTACAGAAAATTTATAAAATTAAGTACATTTGTGGGAATAGTTAACAAAGTAATCCTGGCTACTTGGAAGGCTGAACAGAAGGATCACGAAGCTTGCAGTAGTTGTGACTCCAACATGAGCAAGAGCAAGACCCCAACTTAAAAAAAAAAAAAAAGTTATTTTATTTTATTTTTTTGAGTAGGAGTCCCACTCTGTATCCCAGGTTGGAGTGCAGTGACACGCTTACAGCCACCGTAGCCTCGGCCTACTGGGTTCAGGCGATCCTTCCGCCTCAGCCTACAAGGACAGGCGTGTGCCACCATGCTTGGCTAATTTTGGATTTATTGTAGAGATGAGGTCTTGCAATGTTGCCCAGGCTGATCTCGAACCGTTACCTGGGCAACTTTGGACTCAGGAATCCTCTTGCCTCTGCCTTCCAAAAAAAAAAAAAAAACTATTAGCATTTGGATTTCTTTTTGCTAGAAATAGATATGTTCATTTAAGAAAATTGTTTACTAATATGATAACATTTTGATTTCTTGTGTCACCTATATTTACTGTTCTTTTTTAGTAGTTCTTGAGCCTTTATTATGTTATTGATTATATCTATTTGCATTAGTTACTATAATTCTGTATTTACAGTTTTTCTTGACCTGAGGTTTTTTTCCTTTCTTTTTCCCTAGGTGAATTATACTTTAATGTACTGCAGGTCATATACTACGGATGGGAACTGTTAAAGTTTATAATGTCAAAAACTTTCCTTAGACCAAAAGTGTCTTCAACAAAGGTATGGTAAACTAAATTACCCATGTAATAATTGCCTAACAAGAATTATAAATTTTCATGTACAGTCTTAATGACTTATCACAGTAACCCAGTATCTTTTTTTAGTTAGTGATTTAAATGAGTCTGGTGATAAGTTTTGAAACAAGTATTCACTGAAACACAGCCTTAATTTTGAAAAGGTGTTTATAATCCCAGTCACAAAGAAAAGGCTGAAAAATTTTTAATGAAAGAACATGGAAGAATGAAATAGAAGTCATGTAATTCAGTATGTCAGTTCTCTGCAAGATAACGAGTTTGGGTGGGATGGGGGTCAGACAGCATCATACTTACTCAGGATAGCTATTTTCCTAGTGGCTCTACTTATTCTCTGATCTTAAATAAGCTATTTAACTTTGCTGTTTATCTTCCTCTTTTTTTCAATAGATAGGATTCCAGATTTATGTAAGAAATAAAACTATAAAATTATACATAATATGCAAATAAGAATGGCTATTCAGAGGTTTACTATAACAATATATTCTTAGGTGCTCTAAAATATAGAGGAAAGTGGCCAAAGTTATAGTACCTGTCACAATCTTTTGGTGAAGAAGAAGTGAACTGGGTGGCTATGACTGTGATCCAGCTTCCAGATGTTTTTCTCCAAAAGGGGAACAGTGTCTAATAAATAGCTTACAACTGTGGCCGAATAGTCTTGAAGGAAAATATAATCTTAGTTCCTTTTGTTAGCCAGGTAGGAAATTCACAAGCCAGGTATTAAGTTAGCTTTTTCAAGATTTATACTGTTAGAGTGTTAGGAAAATCTGTTTAAAATTTTCCAATTATTAGAAAAACCTTTTTAATACTCCTAAATATTTTTATGTTAAAATTGCTCAATTCAGCCTCTTTCTGTATATGCACTTACAAAGGATTGTAAAGAAAAGTAAATAATGGAGCAAAATGTAGAGAGGTCAAAAATGTCTATGCGCTAGAAGAACATGAAATAAAACTCACTGATTTTCCCACTCTGTTGTCCCAGTATGCTTCTTCACTTATTTCTGAATGACAAATTTCATCCTCCCTTGAAAAACTGCCTGCCTTATTAAAGTATTGGCTGATTCATGTACCAAAATATATATATAATCCAATCATAATTGTGATTATAGCATTGGGATTCTTAGCCTTAAAACTGAAATGAGTTATTTGGGTTTATAAAATGGTTCTTATTTTGTGAATTTTTAACCTGGTCAAGGCAGAAGTGTTACTCGTCTTATTACTATATATGGTTAAAATTACATCGTTTATTTCTTTTTTTGTTTTGCTTTTTTTATAGGTAAGTTTAATATTTGTGTTTCAGGCCTACAGAGGGTTTAAAAAATCATTCTGCTCTGTGTACTGGGAAGATTACAATGAAAATAATTAAGTTTGCATGTTTTACTACTTTATATGACGTTCGTCATTATCATGGTCAAGTAGACAAGTGTGCACTTGTCCTCACTGTGAAGTAGAAAAACAGTGACTACCTATAGAGAAAGTTTTATTTAAAGAAATAATTTGTGGGATTTTTATTTAAAAACTATACATTTATGAGTATGTTGTTTCCAGAGTGGTTCACTTATGTGGGAAATACCTGTAAAAAATGTAATTATATTTACATAGTTTCTTTTTTTTCAGGTAACAGACTGGGTAGACCCATCATTTGATGATTTTTTAGAGAGTACAGACATCTGTACTATAACTGCCACATCATTAGGTGTGAATAACTCAAGTCATAGAAGAAAAAATGTGCCTCCTTCATTAGAAAGTAGCAAATGGCCAGCTAAAAAAAAAGGAAAGCTGTCTTCATTAGAACAGATCTATGGTTTAGAAAATTCAAAAGAATATCTGTCTGAAAATGAACCATGGGTGGATAAATATAAGCCAGAAACTCAGGTACTAAAAAGCATGCAAGCATATCTACATACATTAATTTCAGAGTGGATGGGAAACAGAGGGATATACGTTTTTATTTTGTTTTTGTTTTTGTTTTTTTGAGTCAGAGTCTCACTCTGTCACCCAGGCTGGAGTGCAGTGGCACGCTTATGGTCATCGCAGACTTGACCTGCTGCACTCAGTGAATCCTTCTGCCTCAGCCTCCCAAGTAGCTGGGATTACAGGCCCATGCCACCATGCCCAACTAATTTTTTTTTTTTAATTGTAGAGATTAGCTCTCGCCAAGTTGCCCAGGCTGGCCTCGAACCCCTGGACTCAGGCAGTCTTCTCACCTCCGTCTCCCAAAGTGCTGGGATTGCAGTTGTGAGCCACTGTGCTTAGCTGGGATATTCATTTTTAGTTTTCACTCTTAAAAATCTTTGTCTAAATGTTAGGAAAAAAAATTTCTAGGTTTTTTTTTTTTTTAATATTCTAAGGCTCAGATTTTCCTCAACAGTTGTCTTGAAGTTGTACCATTAGTTTTTTGTCTTAGATTGAATTTAACCCCAACCTGGAAATGATCTCTTTATTTTCTGCATTTAAAAAAATGTTATAGTTACAAATTTGCCAAAAGCATCAAACAGAGGTTTCAGTTCAAGAAGACAGTTTTTTCATAGCATTAAAATTCAAGTATAATCTGAAAGACCATTTTTAATATAGTATAACATGTTCTTGACTTACAACTTTTTTTATGATACATATTTAAGTTAATGTGTGCTGATCTACCAAAACCCTTGAGTTAAAATGTTTAATTTTAAACTTAAAATTTTTGTCTTAGCATGAACTTGCTGTACATAAAAAGAAAATTGAAGAAGTTGAAACATGGTTAAAAGCTCAAGTCTTAGAAAAGCAACCAAAACAGGTAATTAAATAAAAAATGTGTTTTAAAATATTTAACATCAAATGTTTTTCTGACTTACAGTGTGTCATTAGAAGTTAAATTTTTATGATGACTTTACTCAGGTAAGTCAAGATCACTTACAGTAGAAAGCTCCCTGACTTTACTACTATCAACTTTACTATAAGACTCAGAGACTGAATTTTTTCCTTTATATATCTTTTTCTTTGTCTTACCATTAGCATAAGACACAGTAAATCAATTAAGGCACGAGCATATTTAGCATATCATATTATCTCATGCTAAGGAAATCAGGCAATTAAATATTAGTTTCTGTACCAAATATAGACTAAAACAGTCATTCATTTTAGGCTGCTGTTTTTTATTTCACTTTCCAGTTCCACAATTACTCTAGCCCCACAAACTAGGTATCCTCACCTTCTTTCAAGCTCTTTAACTGTTTTTATTTTGAGATTTTCAGTGGGAAATAAAATAGTAAAAGCATTCATATCTATAATATAGTCATCATTTCCCCCTTAAGTATTCATTTATTATTTATCTTTAATTTTTTTTTTTTTAATGGAGACAGTGTTATTACCTAGGTAGATAGGATCTCTGCTATATTACCCAGGCTTGTGTTGAACTGGGATCAAGCAGTCTTCTTGCTTCAGCCTGCCAAAGTGCTGGAATTACAGGCGTGAGCCACCACACGCAGTTCCCCCTTAAGTTTTTTTTTTTCTTTTGAGTTGGAGTCTTAAAACATCACCCAGGCTGGAGGGCACTGGCACACTCATGGCCACCCCAGTGACGACCTGCTGGGCTTCGGTGATTCTTCTGCCTCAGCCTTCCAAATAGCCAGAACTACAAGTGCTTACTACCATGCCAAGCTAATTTTTGTGATTTATTGTAGAGATGAGGTCTCACCAAGTTGCCCGGCTTAGTCTTGAACAGGCTCAGGCAATCCATGGACTTCCGCCTCCCAAAGTGCTGGGATTGCAGGCTAAACCACCAAACCCGGCTAAGTGCTGGGGTTGACATTATTCTAACAATGTTGTAAAGTTTTTCAGTTATGACTAGTGATCCTGATTCGTATATTATATTCATAACATCTAAAAATATAAGATGTTTCATTAACACTGGGCATTCTCAAAGCTGAAATAATACACTTTTAAGACCAATGATATTTAAAATAAGGGGTTCTCGGCTGCACTCGGTGACTCAGCCTGTAATCTCAGCACTTTGGGAGGCCGAGGCGAGTGAATCGCCTGAGCCCGCGGGTTTGAGACCCACTTGGGCAACTTGGCGAAACCTCGTCTCTACAATAAATCAACAATTAGCCAGGTGTGATAGTGCGTGCCTGTAGTTCTGGCTACTTGGAAGGCGAAGGTGGAAGGATTGCCGGAGCCCAGCAGGTCGATGCTGAGGTGGCTGTGAGTGTGCCACTGCACTTCAGCCTGGGTAACAGAGTGAGACTCCAACTCAAAATAAATAAATACATACATACATGCATACATAAAGGGGGTTCTGAATTTTGCATGTTTTGTTAAGCTTTATTTTATAGACTAAAATTTTGGTTCTCTAGACTTAGGAATACTAAACTGTCTTTTGGGTTTAATGGCTTCTAGTGTCAGCTGCAGATGTCCAGTTTGTTCATCATGAAAGTCATTAAGCTTTTCCTCTGGGAGGAGGGTGCCAAAACATGCTTTTCCAGTTGTGTTTTTTGTCTGTTTTAGTTAGCTTGTTGCCATAACACTGCTGCATATACCTCTCATTCCTGTAAGAAACGCTTGCCTTGTCAGAACCAATGGTCTTGTGCCTCCTAAACTCATCCTTCATGTGCTGGTCGTCCAGGGCTGTGAGGTCAGGGAGCAGAACCTGGTGCAGGGTCAGGATGCGCCTGTACAAGGCACCAACCCAGGAGACATGCTGCCCTGGCATTGTGCCCACAGAGACCACTGGCTGCACCTGCCAGCTCTGTTTTTTTTAATTGTTTTCCTAATTAACTATAATACCATTATTCTGTATAACAAAATTAAGTATAATGCCCTAATGTTACCTAATGATCAGTTTATATTCACATTTCTCCAGTTGTCCCTAAAATATCTTTTTGCAACTGGTCACTAGATTAATGACATGATAGTAATCATCTTCATCGCAGAGTGACTTTCCCTCACTACTGGCACATAACCCATGGGGAGATACTTTGCAACATGGGAGTGCCCAGTTTCCCAGCAGTCTTTACCTAAGCGCTTTAGCATCAATTTTCGATCCGTGCTTGGATCACTTATTTTACTAGGGCTGTGAAATGATGATTTTCTAATAATTCTACTATTTCTAAAATTATTTGCTGGCATTTTTCTGTAAAAAAGGTTGCTATCGGCCGGGTTTGGTGGCTCAGCCTGTAATCCCAGCACTTTGGGAGGCCGAGGTGAGTGAATTGCCTGAGCCCGTGGGTTCGTGACCCGCCTGGGCAACTTGGTGAAACCTCATCTCTACAATAAATCAAAAAAAATCAGCCGGGCGTGGTAGCGCGCGCCTGCAGTTCCAGCTACGTGGAAAGCTGAGGCGGAAGGATCGCCGGAGCCCGGCAGGTCGAGGCTGCGGTGGCCGGGAGCGGCCACTGCACTCCAGTCTGGGCGACAGGAGTGAGACTTCCACTCAAAAAAAAATTTTTTAAATAAATGCTATTCTTGTTCAAGTATTACGGTTTTCTTTAGCTCTGTCACCCAAGCTGGAGTGCGGTTGCATGCTCACGGCCACTGCATCCTCGACCTGCTGGGCTCAGGCGATCCTTCTGCCTCAGCCTTCCAAGTAGCTGGAACTACAATCACGTGCCACCACACCTGTCTAATTTTTTATTTATTATAGAGATGAGGTCTTCCAAGTTGCCCAGGCTGGTCTCAAATCCGGAGGCTCAGGGAATTCTCTCACGTCAGCCTCCCAAAGTGCTGTGATTATAGGTGTGAGCCATCATGCCCAACCTTTTAGAATTTTTATTTTGTGTACAAGGAGCTAGCATGCTTTCATTAGGTGGATGCCTTGGATAATCCATTCAAGGAAGATCACTCAGTCCAACTTAACGAAACCTAATCTGCTTCTTCATGTACTGATGGTGACACTGATGGCACATATTTCCGGATCAAACTGACAGTTTGAGAGCAAGAGAGGACCCTTGCTGAATTTCCATGGCTGGTTTCATTAGAGCTGCTGGTGACCCATTTTGCTCTCAGGAGTGCACCGAGGCAAAAGGGTCTCTGGTACATATATTTCTTTTTTTAGAGTTGGAGTCTCACTCTGTCACCCAGACTGGTGTACAGTGGCTGCTCCCGACCACTGCAGCTTCGACCCGCTGGGCTCCGGCGATCCTTCCACCTCAACCTTCCGAGTAGCCGGAATTACAGGCATGCGCTACCACACCCGGCTGATTTTCGATTTATTGTAGAGATGAGGTCTCGCTGCCCAGGCAGGTCTTGAACCCGTGGGCTCAGGCAATCCACTCACCTCAGCCTCCCAAAGGCGC